CAACTGATAACCCCACAGCACATAGCAATTTATACATCCTGGCGGGTCATGAAAACAGTTACTGAGGAATGGTGCACTTTGACAGTTAACTATAGAGTGAACGAACACTACCGCTGCCACGCGAATGGATGCCCGAAGCTGCAGTCACCTGCCTTCACTTACCTGTAATTTATTGTGGCATGAGGCGAGATGGGGAAATTTTTGTTTTAAGTGGTATGGACATATTTAGCATATTGAACCACACAAGTGCTTAATTCATTTGAAGTTATGTAATCTTTGTACATATAGGCAGTATTTTTCTGTGAAACTTCATATTGCTGAAGACATACACTAAGAATTTATGTAGATAATGTACTTTTACGGGATGTACAAGTAAGTGTCTTATCTGTAAATGTTGTAAATGTTGATGAAATGCAAATGGGGGTTAATATTTTAAGAATTCTTTAGTATACTTTTGGGTGTGACTATTACAAAATGGGATGCTGGCAATGAAACAGGACATTGAACACTATTGTATTTTTATTATATGTAATTTAGTAATATGGATACAAATCTTGTAACTTTTAAAATTATAAAGGAGGCTGTAATCATTTTATAATCTTGTTTTTAATTTTAATGCAAGTACACTGGTTTATATTTGCACAAAATATTGATATGTGATGTATTAAGTCACAAAAGTGAGCGGTGACACTGTCAACATGCATTTGGCTCCACGGCATCTTTTTAAATGTATTTGGATTGTTTTCTATGTGAAACAAACAGATAACCACCTGTTGTAGTAACTGGTCTTTTTATATTTAAGCAGAATCCTATAAGATTGCTTGTCTGTGCTTAAAAACAATACCTTTGGAAAAATGTCAAGTCACAGAATAGCGGTACCATGGTGTGACACTGCAGTTGTGTCTGAATGACAACGTGCACAACGAGTGAATTAGCATCATTACAGTCCACACTAAACATTTCATATAATCACATTGAAGAACTGTAACATTCCATAGAGTGAAATGGTTCAGATTTCTAGTGGAATTCTTAGTTTTGTTGGCCTTATTTTATGATGATTTTCATATTTTTTTATTTAGAGTATTAACATATGGCCAAAATAATTTAGTTACTACCTCATATAAACAATATAATGGTTACTATACATCACAGGAACTCAGTTCTGGTTAAAGTCATTTTTGATTGCTTTTTTCCAATGGAATCTGTACATACCAAGTTTTAGCAAAGTGCACACTTTTGGCTCTTTTTCGGTATATGGTCTTTATGTTTTAATGTGAGTATATACACTAAGAACAAGCTAAATTGTGATTTATGGTCTTCATTTGTTTTCATTGATAATATTTTTAAATATGTTCCTGATTGTACATAGTGTAAAATAAACATGTTTTTTAACATGCTGTTGTATAGTAGCTTGTTACCTGGCCTAATCTATATATAGCAAAACTAAAATACATTGAGAAAAAATTATAATTATATTCTGCATTAAATCCTTCAGTATTCATTCTGGTTCCTCAAATTATCTTTTAATCTAAATTTCATAAGTAATATTTTGACATAAGAGAAAAAAGTTTATTTGTAGAATCTTAAGCTTCCTGATTAGGAAAATCAATTAAACTTTCATAGTCTTTTAGTTAGAATAGGTGTTGTTAAATGATATTCCCAGCCCAATCGTACTCGCCACCTGTTTTTGTAAATAAAGCTTTTATTAGAACATACTAGGTATACATTTACATGTTGTCTGTGGCTGTTTTGGCACTACAATGGAAAAGCTGAGTGGTCCCCCCCCCAAAAAAAAAAAAACTGACCCACAGACCCTAAAATATTTATCATCTGACCTGTTACAGAAAAAGTCTGCTGGCTCCTGGATTAGGAAAGGAGAGTGTTGGGGACTACTGTTCTGCAGATGAGGAAAGGGGCAGACGGGTGGGAGGAACTGGTTTGGAGGTCAGGAAGCACCATTTCTACTCTTGCTAACGCCACTACCTGTTGTGACCTTGGATAATTTACTTGACTCTAGAACAGTTTTCTCATCTAGAAATGTAACTTCTAAATCATATAGATGTTAATGATCAGCAGTTGTGTACATTTGTTACTTTTCCCAAATTCCTTATGACCAATCTTAGCATTAATGTCTGCTTTGAAAGCATATTTTTCCAGGATAACATCTCCAGTTTGCTGAAAAACAGACTCAATGGATTTTCAAGAAATCAAGGTTCTGTTCTTGCCATTTATTGACAAGGTTGTTGATCCTTTTACTGGGCAATTGTTTTTCCAAGTTTCTAAGTCCTGTAAATTATAGAAAGGGTCACATCTCAACAAAATTTAACCGTGACATTTAACTGTTCAAGCCCTTACAAATATTTCCAGGAAATAAAGTACACAACTGGCTGTATGTTACCTGTGGGCTTTAAAAAGATACAGAACCCTACAATCAGTCTTTGGGGATGAGGCACAAGAACCCGTATTTTTATAAAGTTGTAAAAGTAATTCTGATGTACAGCCCTGTGTGAGAACCACTGTCAACACTAAATTTAAAATAGCGTTTCTGAGTGTGATCCAAGGATCGCATGCCTCCGAAAAACAATTCTTAACGATGGGTAAAAATGCATGTTTGCAGCCTCTACCTAATAACTTTTGACTAAGGATTTTTATTCACTGGAAAGGAAGTCAGTCACTCAGATGTTTGAAACAATCAATTTTATCTTCATTAAAGTTCAATATTTTGATAGCTACTTTCTTAGACCTTGGTGTTGAGAAGAATGAGATCAGTTGTTTCTGGGCCTGTTGGCATCATTCAGCTTGCAGGTATGTTGATGATCTCAGTAGAGACCAAGAAAGAAAGGACAGATACCAGTTTTTCTATTACTAGAAAAAAGATGAAAGTGTGTGCTGAACAAAATAATGGGTATATACACTAAGAGTATTTAAGGGAGCGTAGTAACAATATGTATCAGTACCAGTCCATGTATCTGTGTGCCTGGTACTTAGTCTACATTCTTTACACGGATTCTCCCACCGAAGCCCCAGAAGAGCCCAGAGAAGAAGATATTGTTAATGCCATTTTACAGATGAGGAAACTGAAGCACAGAAAGTTTAAATAACTTGCCTGAGAATATAGCTGGTGAGTGGTAGAGTGAAGGTTTGAACCTAGGCACTTAACTTTTGTACTATGTATTGCTCAGAATACATGCAGTATATGCACTCCCCTCTGAAGTACACCCTAGCACTTTTTTATCCTGAAATTTATTTTCTCCAAGAGGGAATTGGACTTTAAATTCTGATTTTCACTGTCTGCAACAAGAGAAATTCTTACCTTAATTCTTTTTTTTTTTTTTTTGCTTTCCTAAAAAGCATTTTCTCGTTCAAAGCATTTTGTTAAGAAAATAAAAGGATTTGCATAAGATTAGCTTTACAGTTTATTGAGTCCGGCCCTGCCTAGTGTAGCTCAGTGGATTGAGCACCAGCCTGCAAACCAAAGAATTGCCAGGTGAGTTCCCAGTCAGGGCACATGCCTGGATTGCGGGCCAGGTCCCCAAAAGAGGGTGTGTTAGAGGCAACCAAACATTGATGTTTCCCTTTCTTCCCCTCTGTCAAAAATGTCTTTTCTTTAAAAAAAAAAAAAATGTATAGGTCTAGGTAAAACTCATTACAAAGACTTTTTTTTTTACTTTTGTGAGGTAATTATTTAACCAACATTTACTAATAATCATTTACAGTGCAGAAAAGATGGAAAACCTATCATTCCCAGTATATCATTCCCAGTATTCAAATGACATGTTTGGATAAATAGGTGCAAAAGGTTGTACCTGATTCTGTTTGGGGAAAAGGAAAACCTCTATAGAGAAAGTTAAATACAAACCAGGCCGTTAATAAACGAAAGGAGTATATCAAGTGCAGGGGAAATCAGAACAGGTCCTGTACACTAGACTAAGACGTGCAAAAATGCTGCGTTAAGTGCAGCAGAGCTTAGGGTGCGCGACTCAGGAAATGGGGTGAAGCTAGAGAACTAGGGTGGACCCAACTGCGAAGAGCTGCTTAGAGAAATAGCTCTAGTACTCGACGATTTGGGAAACTGCAGAGGTAAAACACAACAAGAAGATGAAAAGAGGCTGTTGGGTTTGTGTGTAAGGTTTCAAGGTTGTAAATTTGTCACTTGTATTTTTACTGAAATTTTTCAAAGCATGGTAAGGGCAGAAATGGTATGGAAATGGTAGATGTGAGTTTATGCAGATTTGAGTATTGTGGAAATAGGTTTAGCCTTGGAGGAGGAAGGAGATAAAGGTGGTTTCTAGTTTGGTTAAAGATATGAGTAGATTGGAGCATATTTCTAAGCAAATGAAGAAAATGGAAAATTGTAAATGAGAAAAAGAGCTGCCTCAAAAAAAAAAAATGGAAACAGGAACATCCTAAATCTGGGCGTGATGGAGAGCATTTTATCAAAGTACGTATTTGCTCATTAACAGTATTTTTAAGTTCACCTTAGGAACAAGAAGGTTAACTTTGCCAAAAAATATATATTTCCAATTTACCTCGTAGAGCATTCATCACATTGTTTGCTCAACTTGGTCCCCCAACTGGGTGTCAGACAAGTCTCTTATTCTATCAGCCCCACTACTAGTACAACTTGCTGGATAATGAAAATGGCCGCAAAATACCGCACCTAATAGTTGCTTGTCACGGAAAAGCCTACAGAAGGTTGCTGAAAATTTATTTGGGAAATAAGGCAGGACCGAAGAGTAATGACTTATGACTTATAATAGGATCTGACAAACTGAGCGTCTATGCCCAGGTGTGTAAATGGACAGGTGCTCCGCGCTTACACGTGCTTAATTTTAGTGCTTTTAAAGCCTTGGAATGGAACGGGAGTTGGTATGACAGTGTTCATGGAAAAAGCAGTGTTTCCTGAGCACCGCCTTCCGAGCATCTTTAAGAGTTCTCGAGGAGGGACCGCTGTTATGACCACATGCTGAGATGCTGGGTTCGCCCGAAGGTGACCCGCCTGGACTGGAGCCCGGGACGCGGGCTTCCTCCGCGGTGAGCACCAAGGAAACCGTCTCCGGAAGCCGTCCTGCCCCCGCTCGGCTTGAGCGTCCGGTTGCCCGGGAGACGCCGGTGCAGTTCCGCTCTGGAGTTGCCACCGCTGGCTGAGCAGAGCGACCCCCTTCGGACTTGGGACTGCTCCGGGCAGCGCCACCTTCACCCGGTCTGCGCCGTAAGTGCCGTTCCAGCGGCGGGCACGGGTCCCTGCGTGGCGGGCCAGGTGAAATTGGATGGGGGCCAGCGCGTGTGGGGTGGGGGTTTGATGGAGAGCAATGTGGCGTCAGCACGGGGCTCCAGACAAAGAAAAGTTGCCCGAGAGAGGGGAGCGGGGCTGCCTTCCCCTGTGGTGGCCTCTTGCGGGACAGAAAGGTGTGAGGGCTAGAGGTGACAGCGGGCTGCCGCTGGCCACACCACCAAGTCGCTGGGGCTCCCTGGCGGCGGGAGAAAGGGGCAACCCTGGGGGGAGGGCGGCCCTCGGAACGGGCGACAGGGGAGCGAGGGGCTCCTCTGCGCTCTGGGAGTCCTGGGCGTGGCCCCTAAGCTGGGCTGCCCTTCTCAGAAGTGTCGGGACTAGTTTAGCGGCCTGGAAATAAAGTGATCTGTGCCGAACTTTCATTCCTGTTGTGTGTTCACGTTGAAATGTCATTTTTTTTTTTTTGAGCTATGTTAATCATGTGGTCTTACAGTTTTCTGGAGATGCTTTTAATTAATCCAATTGTTCTGTTACCAAGAGAAGCTTATAATCAGGTGTGTGTATTCTTGAAGTTCTGTGATTCCTTATTATAAAACAGACGCAGGATTTTTTTTAGCCCGTTTTCTATTTAGTTCTATTAAATATAAATACATCTGGTTGCATGGGAACAAAAGCAACGGTGCAGACTGATTTCTAACCTGCGGGATCCGCAAATGATCTGGACTGGTATTGAAAAGGTTTCCTTTCCCCCCTTAGGCCTAACACCACAGTTTACACGAGTTTCTTAGAAACTTAGATTAGGAAATTCATGTTTTCCACCCCATTTTCTCTCTAATTTTGTTTTTCTTCTCCATGTATCCGTCAGGCATGCTTGAGCCCTCAGGACCTGGTGTGTGACACAGTCATGGAATATAACCTGCCTGCAAGTTTTTTCTCTGTTTCAGTCCTTAAAACAGGAAATTAAATAGAAAATTTTCAAAGAATTCAGCTACCCACTCAAGTATCTATCTCTGTATGTCTTTCTGTGTTCACCAACTGGTCCAAGTCTATATCTGTTTTTGCTTTTGTGCACAGAACTTCATTAACTTAAGAATCAAATATTTGGTAAATTCTGAAGTCAGGAGATCCTGTAACCAAGAGGCATACGGCTTCAGATTGTGAAGATCACTAATGATGATGAAAAATATGTCCAACCAGTTGCATCTATTCTCTGCCTAATATACCTCTATCAATAGTTTTCCCCCAGCATCATTAGGATTCTCTGCATACAGTAGCACTCCATTTCCAAATGAGAGTTTTTCTTTCCATTTCCAATCTATATACTTTCAATTAATTTTACTTGACCTGTGGCAAGAACTTCCAATACAATGTTAAACATAAGTGGTTAACTACAAGAATTCCCCAATCTGGGTGGAGGGGCAGGCCGGGGGGGGGGGGGGGGGGGGGGGGGGGGGGGGGATTCAGTCTTTCACCATTAAGCATGATGTAGGTTTTTACTGTAGGTTTTTCTACAGGCCTTCTGGGAAGGATGTTGCTTTCTAGCCCTAGTTCGATGAGATTTTTAAAATCATGACTGGGTTCTGGGTCTTGTTAAGTGCTTTTTAAAAGTATGTATCTACTGAGACAATCCTGTATTTCCATCTTTTATTCTATTAGGATGTTGTTTTACAATATTGATTTTCAGATATGAAACCTCGCATTCCTCAGATAAGTCCCACTAGTCATGGTGTATAACTCATTTTATATATTTCTGCTAAGCATTTTGTTGAGGATTCTTGTGTCTTTATTCATGAGAATAATGATCTATAGTTTTCTGGGGACTTCTTTATCTGACTTTGTATCAATGTAATATGAAAAGAGACCAAGAAAAACAACTTATTAATTAAAAATTGTGTATTTATTTTTACATGTTTAAACTTCAGTCACCTTCAAAGTACTCTCCATTTGATGCAGTACACCTGTGGAGATGTTTTTTTCCATTATTCCAAACAGTTTTTGAACATGTTGATTTTGATGCCTTTTGGTGCTTCTGCCATTTTTTGTTTCACCTTTTCCACATCAGAAAAATATTTCCTATTGAGGACTTTATTCATCTGGGAAAACAAACAAAAAAGCCACTCGGGATGAGATTGAGTCAGTGGGAGGGTGGGGCCATTTTTGGTGTCAGGCCATTTTTGGTGAAAAACTGATGACTCAGCGTGGTGTGAGCAGGGGCGCTCATAAATCGCCCATCATGAAATGGGTCAATGCATTGAAAGAGTCTTCAAAAAAAATTCACTGAAGCCAAATGCAGCCTCTCACAACAACGCCAGCTGGTGTACTGATGCAGAGAGGTTCCTAGACCACTCACCCAGTGGGGGAAGTGTGTACTACAAAGGGGCCAGCCCTCCAGAAGGTAGTACTGCGTTTTTTTGGAGGGGTCCCTCCTCATATTGGCCTTACAGAATGAGTTGAGATATGTTTCCTCCACTTCAATTTTTAATTGGGTTGGCCAAAAAGTTCACTTAGTTTTTTCCATAAAATGGCTCTAGTAGTGCTTAGTTGTCTTTAACTTCATTCAAAACAATTTTATTAGATTGTATTGTGACAGCTGTCATATCAGAGTGCATTTTTAAAAAAAGTATCAAAATTGGTAAATTTTGTGCAGCCATATAAATATTGAAGATGGGAGAAGATACACAATATTTTCAGCATATTATGCTTTATTGTTTCAATAAAGGTCAAAATGCAACTGAAACAAAAAAAAAGATTTGTGCAGTGTATGGAGAAGGTGCTGTGACTGAGCGAACGTGTCAAAAGTGGTTTGTGAAGTTTCTTGGTACTATTGACATTTTGGCCAAATAATCCTTTGCTGTGGGGCTGTCTTACGCATTGAAGATGTTTAGCAGCACCCCTGGCCTCTACCCACTAGAAGCCAATAGTGGGAGACAGCTGACATACTCAAAATACCCAAATCAATGAAGTTATTGATAAAAATAAAAAACGTGCCTTTTATGGAAAAAGTAAATGGACTTTTTGGCCAACCCAATAAAACAGTTTATGAAAGATTGGTATTTATTATTCTTTGAATGTTTGGTAGAATTCACCTTCGAAGCTGTCTAATCCTGCCTGGGCTTTTCTTTGTGGGTAGAGTTTTAATTACTAATTGGAAGTATTTATTTCTTAGTGTAATCAGGTTTTCTATTTCTTGGGTCAGTTTAGTATTTATTGTCTTTTTATACATTTGTTCATATTGTCTAATTTGGTTGCATAGCATTGTTCATAATACTCTGTTTCAATCTTTTTAATTTCTATAGGGTGGTCCTGATTTTGGTAATATTTATTTCTCTGTTTTTTCATAATCTGTCTAAATCTGCCTCAGCTTTAGCTTTCCTCTTGGCCTCCTCAGGTTTTCCGCATGTATGCACATAATTAATCGTTTTCTGAACACAGTTTGTGGTAGAGTTGCCATGTGTTACGTGAGTGTATGTGCTTGGGTAACAGTGGTAGTCATTCACCCACGTAGATGCTTTCTCCAGTTGTGTGGCTTTATGGTGGCAAGTGAGGGTATATGATTTCTTTCTTCACTGAGATAGCCTGTGGGCAGGAAAGACTGGATATCATTAGTGAAGTTAAAAAAATACTCATTTGAAATGAGAAAATTTTTAAGTGGTCAACCGTTTTTCTAAGGTTTAATTTAGAGAGGGGGAAAGGGAGAGAGAATAAGAGGGAGAGAAACACTGATGTGAGAAAGAAACACCAATCAGCTGCCTGGACCAGGGACCAAACCCACAACCCAGGCAGGAGCCCTGACCGGGAACGGAACCAGCGGCCTTTCGCTTTGCAGGATGATGCCCGAACAACCAACCAAGCCACACTGGTCAGGGCAGAAGTCAACTCTCTACTTCAAAGTTTATTAATACCAATACCTGGACAGAGCGGCTCTTCAAATTGTGCTTTAGTTTTAATTAACTGTAAGGTAGTATAGTGTAGTGATTAAAATTGTGATCTTTGAAATGTGACTGCCTAGGTTCTAATTCCATAGTAGCTTCACTGTGCCACAGTTTTTTCGTCTGTAAAATTGGATAAGAATAACTCTTACTTTATGAAATGTTTGTGTACATTATATGTAATTTGCATAGGATACTGTTATTAAAAGCTAGCTATTATTACTAAGTTTATAGTCAAGATTCTACTGAGTACCCTGACTGGCGTGGCTCAGTGGATCGAGTGTGGGCCTGTGAACCAAAGGATCACCGGTTCAATTCTTAGTCGGGGCACATGCCTAGGTTGCGGACCAGGGCCCCAGTGGGGGGCACATGAGAAGTGACCACACATTGATGTTTCTTTTCCTCTTTCTCTCCCTCCCTTCCCTTCTCTCTAGAAAAATTTTTTAAAATGTTTTTTAAAAATTCTGAGTAAAGTGGGGTGGGATTTTTAAGACTAATTAGAATTTTTATATTTTTAATTCTTAGACTGACTTATTTAATTATGATGGCCTTATTTGTTATCTGACATGTAATCTAGTCACCACAAAATTCACAAATGGGTGACACAAGACAGAAAAATTAAACCCAGTATTTCTGTAGAAATCACCAAGGGTATGAGAGCATACATGAAGGATGAGAGAAGTCTGCCTTCTCTTTTGTGTTTTATTTCTATTCTCTTTGGGTTAGGCTCTGTTGCTTCATACACATTAATGCTAAGCACAATAAAAAATGCTCTAAAAAGATTTTATTATTTTTAATTGCTTTAACAGTCCACAGTTTCTCTTCTCTCTCCACCAGGTGGAGGTGTAGCGCTTTGTACTGTGGTTCCCAGTTCTGGTCTTTGCCGTATTCAAATGGTTAGGAAGGAAAAGAGAAACACCATATTCAAGAATATGAAGTACTCATTCAGCTGGATTTTACAGGATCACATTTTAATCATTTACTAGAGGATAATGAAAACAATAGATTGGATAAGGTTCTTTTCCACAACTTCTTTGAATTCAACTGAAGTCAACACAGACCCATTATAAGAAATAGCATATGAAATTTTTCAGTAACTGGAAGAACTGCAAAGCACCAAGCTCAACTAACAAAATAACGCCCAAATATTTTTAAGTGTATTTAAAGTTAATCAATGGGAAGATCGGTTTCCTTAGAAGATTGGTTTTATATAATAATCGGTGGGAACACTGTCCTTGATGAGCTGACAGAGCTGAGCCATCTTATTTTCCAGGTGTGATATCGTTCTGCAAGGTAATCAACACAGTGATCTAAGTCACTTCTACCATCATGGAAAAGTATGAAAAGTTAGCTAAGATTGGAGAAGGGTCTTATGGGATTGTATTCAAATGCAGAAACAAAACATCCGGACAAATGGTAGCTATTAAAAAATTTGTGGAATCTGAAGATGATCCTGTTGTTAAAAAAATAGCACTAAGAGAAATACGCATGTTGAAGGTAGGTTAACTTTTATGTATCTATATAGTGTCGTGGTAGTGGGTGAACTATGTATGCCAGAATTACAAAGAATATTAAAGTGATTTCTTTTTCTACTGGACTTTTAAATTCCTTTGTATCAGTAACTTGGGGAAATACATTGATTTTCACTTTGGACTTTAGCCATTCTTATGTTTAGCTGGTATTTATTATGAGTACAGCTGTAGATTGTTAAATTATTGAACTACTTCCCTCTAGTTGGTAAGTCACTTCCTAAGTCCCCTCATTTCCCCCAGCTGTGCCCCCCCCTTCCTACCCCACCCCCCACATAAACCAGCAAATAAAAGAGCATCTGCTGGCACAGAGGGGCCCACAGGACTGTGCCCGTGGGGCTGCAGGCATGGCTGTGGACCGGTCCCGCCTGGGGCCCGCTGGTCCTCAGACAGACTGAAGATCACCCCAGCTGTGTATACACATTGTACACAGAGGGTTGGTCATGTTTGTTTCTACTCTGGTGGGATTTGGCGTGTATGATGCATAAGTTCTCAATGTAAACATTTTCCCATCCTAAAAATCTTACAGTTTTAGAACCTTAAGAGACCTAGAGATGCTTTTCATCAGCACTTTTACTTCATCACAGCAGAAGCCCAGTTGTAGGGCAGTACTTCTCAGACATGGATGTGCATTGGCTTCCACAGGGGACCTTGTTGAAATGCTGGCTGTCTCGGGAGGGGGCTGGGGAGCCTGGGATTCTGCATTTCAGACCAACTCTCAGTGCCACAGAAGCTCCCGATTCTTGGGCCACACTTTTGAGTTACAAAACTCTTACGATTTCAAGAACACACAGCCAACTTTTGCTATAACATGTCATCTGCTTTGGGGAACCCCCAGAAATCCAGTTTTTGTAGGGAGATAATAGTTAATTATTCATCTTTTTCAAGAACTATCCGTAGCAGGTTTCCTCAATTAGTGAGTTCTAGTGTTTTATTCAAAATATAGTTAGATATACATGGATTTTTTAAGAGCACATGCATCACGATAAAAAGCAGTTCACTGTGACCTCATAGCCCACAGCCAGCTCTGTCACAGCTAAGTCATGGGTGTGTCTGCGCTGGGCAGTGGGTGTTTTCCAATAAAGGTGATGCATTTTAGCCACTGCAGCCCCCAAAGTCTCCAGCTACAGCTGATACTCGGGTCGTGCCTCCAAGGTTACAAGTTCCCCAATTGAAGGACAGACTTTACAGTGAAAAGGCAGCCAGATTTCAGCTCAGCTTGGTCTCTGGTGATGATGACTCTCGGGGTCCCCTTTCCCGCTTTTGGTAGTTACACCCAGGTATGCTCAGAACAGTTTCCTTCCAGGATATATCTACAGGACCTTCCTTATATACTCCAGTTATTTAAATTTGATTGATTTCTTCCCCTCCTTACTACCTGTTTCACTTTAGACAAGTCACTGTTTTTCTGGGCTAAATTAATTTCACCAGCAAATGAGCTGTATGTAAATTGCTGATCTATCCAAAGGCAGGGTTGGCGGGGTGGCGCCTTGCCCTGGCATCCAGTGGAGGCATCTGTGAGTCCCTCGCTCTCCTTCCTGGTGGAGACACTTTGTTTCCTGTCTGCAGCTTTGGCTGCAGCACAGAGCAGCAGGGTTACCCTTGTGGCCCATTTCCTCCGCTCTCTGCCTTTCTGCCCTTTTAGGCAGTAGAGCTCCTAGAAAAAAAAATGACTTGGTGCTCTGGGAATATTTTTCATGTGTGACAAATTCCCAAACTCCTGAGCAGCAGGAATTGTCCCTGGTTGGTGTTTTTCTGAATCAAACCATGCCCGCAGATGCTGAGGTAGAGGGTGTTATGTAAGTCCTCGTACTTAGGACTCTCTGCTGGGCCTGCAGATTATTTGTTGAGCTTTGCTGTGTACACAATACTGTTCTCTTTTTTTATATATCCCTCTGAGTAAATGGTGCAGGGCTTGGAAAAGTGATTTTTCTATTATAGTGGGAAAAGAAGAGGGAAGGTGAGTTATAAATTAGGAGTGATCAGATGTCCTGGTCTAGAACCAGAGTTAGTCTGACCAGCGTCCTCTTTCCAAAGGTCCTGGTTTATATGCTAAGTTATGTGGTCACCCTAAGATATAGGCTGGGTGACCGTAGGTGCCAGTTTGCCTGGGACAGCCCTGACTTCTACTCATTACCTTGATCGGATGATAAATTATATAGTCCCAGTAGTGACAGGTTATCTTAGATGATCCTAATCGGGGTTTTCCCTTGATTTACAATGTTAAGCAGAGGCTGACTTGTGAAATGCTTCAGTTTGGGAATAGAATTTAACACATAAGACATCTAAGCATAAGAGAGAACAACAAAATCAAAGAGCAGAGCTGGAAAATGACAAATTAAAAACAGACTGACCATGTGGACTCCTAGAATAGGTGATGTAATCAGACTTGAAGTTCGGATCTGTTCCTGAGAGCTGACACTGAAGTCTAGACTGGGTTTACACCCAGCTGACATTTACATTCAGTCCATGGCGATACGTAAGCTAAATGGATATTGATGACTTTTATAGTCTTACACAGTAATTCCATTTCCTCGGTTTTTCATTCAGGTTATTTTATGACTTACATATTTAGAGTTTCCACAAAATGCTAAAGCATTTTTAGTGTTAGTATACTTTGTTTTCTCCAGAGAGATTCAGTTTAGTTATCGTCTATTATAAGTATGTTAGAAGAATTCTTAAATTTTTCTTCCAACTTTAAGATCCAAGATTCTTACTAAGAATAGTTTCTCTTGTAAGTAACTGTAATAAAATTCTCCACAAGAGATGCATAGAGATGATAGGCAAGACCTTCCGTTCTTAAAATTGTAAGGATCCAGGGAGAACTCTTACAAGAAACAAATCACCAAACGTTGCATTTCAATTCCTTTGCAGCAATTAAAGCACCCAAACCTTGTGAACCTCATTGAGGTGTTCAGGAGAAAGAGGAAAATGCATTTAGTTTTCGAATACTGTGATCATACACTCCTAAATGAACTGGAAAGGAATCCAAATGGGTGAGTAGTTTGGAAACTGGAGCTCTGTGTGGTCGGGCCCCGGTTTCATGTACTGGGATTGACTGTGACAGACTTCAGGCATGAGCCACAGTTCCCCTTCCTACCCAGGCATGTCTGCTGGCTACCCCCTCCCATCTCAGGATTGGCTCAAAGGGCAGATGACTGTTAGCCTGGAGTAAAAATGATTAGGGAGACAAATCTGCAAATATAAATCATGATACATTTTGAGGCTAAGTTATATATTGGATGACTGAATTCAAGGAATGAACCATGGTTCAATATTAGGAGATCTATTCACATAATTCGCTAATAGGTTAAAGGAGAAAAAATGCACATGGTTGGTAAAATTTGAAAGGTGGTTGATAAAGTCAACATTCTTTTCTGATTTTTTTTAAGAAGCCTTAGCAAACTAGGGTTAAAATACTTTCTTAGCATACACATAACATACACACACACAAGCCGTATTCAACTTAACCACTGATTTACTCAGCACTAAAGGAGTCACTATTAAAGTGAGAAACAAGACAAGGACATCAGTTGGCACCAGTGTAATAACGTAGCATTGTTCTGAGAGCACTAGCCACTGTAATGTGACAATTAACAGAATATATGACTTTTGGAGACAAGTTTAACTTGTCAACATTTTCATTATCTTCTGCGAAAATCTAAGAGAATTGCTTAAAGAGTTATTAAAATAAATGGAATTCAATGTAATGATTACAGCACTCCAAATTTTACACATGGTGAGGTCTTGTTGCTGGTGCCATATGCCTGGGTCATATGTGGGCCATACCACTGTTCTGGAAGGGCAGCTACATCTGCACGGCCAGTTCTACTTTTCAAAAGTGATCTAAGCAGACTTCCACCAAGATGGAGGCATAGGTGGAAACACTATACCTTTTCGCACGATCAAGTCTAAAAACAAAATTTTAGCAGCAAACAACCCAGCCAAACCACAGAGAATTGAACAATACAGGAGTTCGACAACAACGAACCATTCATCCAAACTGGTAAACCAGCAAAGGAGCGAGCAGTAAGATGGACCACGCAGGCCCCAGTGGCAGGAGGGAGAATAGGGGACTGCTATTGCTCCCTCTCTGACCCCTGCCCCCACATACAATGTCACAAACCAGCAACCTGGGTGGCCCCACCCTGGTAAACACCTAAGGCTCCTCTCCTCATACGTAACAGGCACAAACAGATAAAAACATGGCTCAAGAAGAACTCAGAGCCCCAGAACCCATAAATCTAAGTGAACAAGAAATTGTCAACCTATCAGAGGCACAGTTCAAAACACTGGTGATCAGGATGCTCACAGAACTGGTTGATTTTAGTCACAAATTCGAGGAACATATGAAGGCTAAACTAATTGAAATGAAGGGAAATGGGAAGCCAATAGCGATGAAAAGGAAACTGGGACTCATTTTCAAGGGAGTGGACCAGAAGGAAGAAAAAAATGACCAAATAGAAAAGAACGAAGAAACAAGAATTCAAAAAAATGAGGAGAGGCTAAGGAACCTCCAGGACATCTTTAAATGCCCCAACATCCAAATTATAGGGGTACCAGAAGGGGAAGAGAAGGAGCAAGTGGAAAACTTATTTGAACAAATAATAAAAGAGAACTTCCCCAATCTGGCAAAGGCAATAGACTTCCAGGAAATCCAGGAAGCTCAGAGAGTCCCAAAGAAGTTGGACCCAAGAAGGAACACACCAAGGCACATCATAATTATATTAGCCAAGATTAAAATGAAGGAGAGAATTCTAGAAGCAGCAAGAGATAAGGGGACTGTCACCTACAAAGGAGTTCCCATCAGACTGTCAGTGGATTTCTCAAAAGAGACCTTACTGGCAAGAAGGGGCTGGAAAGAAGTATTCTAAGTCATGAAAGACAAGGACCTACATCCAAGATTGCTCTGTCCAGCAAAGCTTTCATTTAGAATGGAAGGGCAGATAAAGTGCTTCTCAGATAAGGTCAAGTTAAAGGAGTTTATCATCACAAAGCCCTTATTATATGAAATGTTAAAGGGACTTATCTAAGAAAAAGAAGATAAAAAATATGAACAGTGAAAGGACAGCAAACTCACAGTTATTAACAACCACACCTAAAACAAAAACAAAAGCAAACTAAGCGGACAACTAGATCAGGAGCAAACCATAGAAATGACGATCACATGAAGGGTTAGCAACAGGGGAGTGGGAGAAGGAGAAGGGGGGAGAAGGTACAGAAAATAAGTAGCATAGACCATAGATAGAAAATAGATAGGGGGGAGGGTAAGAATAGTAGGGGAAATATAGAATCTAAAGAACTTGAGACACGTGTTCATGAACTAAAGGGGGAAATGGTGGGGGAGGGTGTGCAGGGTGGAAGGGAATGGAGAGGGAAATAGAACAAAAGTAATGGCATAATCAATAAAATATTAAAAAAAAAAACAAAAAGTGATCTAAGCATATTTAAATATCCAGATATGATAAAATATTAGAGCCGAGTGATGAGTGTGTTTGGAATATTAGATAATTTTTAAATTTTAATTAAGAAACTTGAGTAGACATTTGGTAAAAGAAATCTTGTTTCAGGTTTTTTGAAGTGTGCAACCAGCAATCCCATCCTATGAACAGGATGGAAGACCAACAACATACTAAGGAAAATAGTCGCAGCCTATGTGCAGACTGATGTACACTGAGTCTTCATAACTCGGTTTAAAAAGGAGTAAACAGGGCAATCAAAAAAGTAAGAAGCTATGATCAGTAAATACACCAAAAAAGAAATGTAATAGCCAATGATCATGTAAAAATTAAATTCATTAATTAAAGAAATGAAAAAGAGATCTTTTTATTTTAACCACAGATTGGCAGATGCAACACCAGCAAAACCAGATGAGGGGACAGGGACTTATGTGCACAGATGTTTTGTGGGAGTGTGAGTGGGTCACCCTCCCTCAGAGAGGCCACTGGGCAGTGTGTAACTGCGAAGGTGTCATTCATGGGAGGGTGAAGGGAGCAATGGAATCACATCAACAGAAAAGTTACAGTCTTGCTGTGATTGCTACAATTTGTGGAGATGGTTACACAGAGCACACTACTCCCAACCAGAATACTCCCCAGCTCCCCCAAGGAAGATACACTTGCCAGTGGCACTTTCCAGCATCTTCCTCACAGAGTAAGGATTCTGCAGGGACTAAAGCTCCCAGGGTCCCATTCTCATGGGCTGTTGATTGTCCCTGGCTTCCCAGAGTGCCGGCCCTCGTACCAGGCGTGAGTCACTTTCACAAAGCAAGACCAGCACTTGCCTGAGTGCTCACCACCAACTCGAGCTGGATGAATTGAAGGTCAGTCTTCAAGCATACCTTTCTTCCTGCAACACGAGACTCAGGTCCACCTGAAGTTCATCCCCGCAGGATCAAAATGTAATGTGTGCCTACATGTGGTCCCAGAAACCCCACTTCTAGAACTTACCTTAAAAGATAATTGCATGACTGCAGTGAGATGGATTACATATATTCACTGAAGTGTTGTTTCCAAAAATAAAACTTGGGCCACCAATTGCTCATCAGTGGGGACTAAGTAAATGACAATACATCCATATGAGACCCTTTACAGCCACAAAATGTCTGTGTACTGAAGTCCCTGTTTCGGAAAGAGGCGGGAAGTCGCAGAGAAGGAACTGGCTGGGTGGGCGGGTCCGCGAGAGAATACTTCATAGAGATACTTTCGGAATTTTTAAATTTTAAGCCATATGAATATACTTTTCAATGTTAAAATTAAAAAGTAAATTCCCACACAGAGGGGACAGGAACAGCAGTGCCTAAGGGGACCACCACCACAGGTCACAGCAGCTCTTTGGGGCAACAAGACTTGAGTGAACACTTTTTATACCTTTACTTTTCTATGTTGTTTGAATTTCCTGTTAAGCATGTATCATTTGTACAGATGTAAAAATTGAAATTTAGAGAGGAAATTGTGTAATTATAATGAAAAAGAGTAAGGTAATTTTCATTAAAACTTTTTTTAAAAAGCATTTTCAAGGGACCCTCTGCGCTGTGTTCACTGACCATCACAAGCTGCCCTCATGCCCATTCTGTTCCCTCTTCTGCCCCCGTAACCCCACCCCAGGAGTTTTAATGTCCTTTGTGGTGTTTTTCCCTAGAGTTGCTGATGGAGTGATCCAGAGTGTATTATGGCAGACACTTCAAGCTCTTAATTTCTGTCATAAACATAATGTAAGTGACATTCTCTAATACATTTGTTAATTCTTCATGATTCTTCTACACGTAGCTCAGGGGTGTCCTCAAAGAGCTAAAAACAGAGGAGTTGGGCAGGGTGGAGTGAGAACCAGAAGAGCAAACCAAAAGAAAGTTACAGAATATGAGGAAAAGCAGTGCTTTATTTGTGGCCCTTTTCCAATTTCTATAAGAATCAAATTTCTAATTCCTTATGAATCGAAAGGTTGTATAAACTTACTGTTTCTTTTTGCCTCAGTACCAACGATTCCTCTGATTGTTTTTAAATTGGATTAAAATAAGTTTGCAGTAGTGTAATCCACTATGGGACTTGGTTTTGTTCTGGTTTTCTGTCTTTTAAGTCTTTTATTCTGTAACAGTCCCCCTGCCCCCACCTTTTAAAAAAATTTTTCATCATTAATTTATTAGAGCCCTAGTTCTCCAACTCACGCATGCATTGCTGTCCCCGGAGGGCCAGTCGGGACGGTCTCTGGGCCCACCCCAGGGTCCCTGATTCCATAAATCTGGGGTAGGGCTTGAGAATGTGCCTTTCCAAGCATTTTCCTTATTGGTACAGAAGCTGCTGGTCCAAGAACCACACTTTGAGCATCACTGTTACTGAAATCATCTTGTCTGATTGCCTCCTGTGTGTAATTGAACTTGTTCTTTCACTTGTATTTCCTGTAAATCGGTATTTATATCTAGAGGCCTGGTCATTCTCAGGTTCCTATTTTTAGATGAGAAAACTTCATGTATAGTGCTGTACACTTCTCATTGGGCCGACATCACGAGGCATCCAATGTCTAGTTATCCCACTCTTGGTCATCTTAAAATAGACTTGCGGGTTCAGAGGTGCATGTTTGATTTTCCAGCGTTATCAGCTTCCCTGTCAGCATTTTGCTTGATGGTTTTAGCATCCTTGGATGATTATTGCCTATAACCAGCATTTCATTGGGTTTAAAAGGGGGCATTTCTCTAATTCTGTTATTCCTCCTGCATTTATTAATTGGAATTCTATGGCGAAGAGCTTACCCTTATGGACTCTGGCCTCTGTAAAGTACAGTTAGATAAATATGGGATTCTTTCCTTTATCAATACTCAGAGTAATGAGTTGGTGTATTAGCAGCATCCAAGAGTGAACAATGAAAGGATTTAATGGAAAGTTTATAATTATAACATAATAATAAACTCAGGGATTTTATATATTTGGTGTGTTTTAACCCTTTGCAATCATTGTTCTCTCTGATGTTCATATTGTCCCATCTTTGGTTGGCAGGAGCTTCTCGTTAGAGATACACTGAGTCTGGCCTCATCTAGAGTTTTACCTCTTACAGTTCAAATAGGACCCAGTAAAAACCGGAAGAAATAATTATATGATACTACCTTTCCTCCCACCCCCAAAAAATCAGTTTTCATATTCAACAATCATTTCTCCACTGATGCAGCTACATTTTGATTTTTCCTTTTGATATGATGAGTAAAAAAATGCCAATTTAAGTTCTTTTAGAAAAATGAAGAAAAACCGTATTTGTCTTTATCTCACAGGCTATGTGTATCATTTAAACTAATAGTTAATTTCTTTTTGCTTTGTCACCTTGATGGCTCAAAGAAATAATCAAACATTATCTTACAGTGCATTCACAGGGATGTAAAACCTGAAAATATTCTAATAACTAAGCAGGGAATAATCAAGATCTGTGACTTCGGGTTTGCACGAATTCTGAGTAAGTAGCCACTTGTTACTAACCTACCCAATTCAGGTAGGTTATGAAATAATGTAGCTGAAATTCCTCCTTTAGATACTGAATGTATGCTACATGTTATATTGTTATTATTCGAAAAGGAAAATCTCACTTTAACCTTTAGCGACTACATTAATTTGCACTTCCAGTCCCCTGCATTTAACTAGAATTTATTTGATGTCATATTTATATGCTCTGCCCCATTGGAAAGGAAAAGAGTTATAATATACATTTCTGCTTTTCATGCACTTGGAATCTGAAATGAAAAAATATATACGTTACTGCAGGATGATTGGCAATGAAGTAGAAAAGTGGAGGTGCAGAGGGTTCCCTAGAGGGAAATAGTAATCGTGTGGGTTGGAGTGGTCAGGGAAATGCGCTCATGGAGCTGCTGGGACTAGAGAGCCAACTGACAATCGAAGAGGGGATTCAGACAGTGCTCAGAAAAAGGGGTGATCGCAGACAGGGAGGAACCAAAGGTAAAGAAGGACAAATCAGTGTTTCTCCACAAATCTAGAACAGCAGCAGCAAAAACTTGTATTAGCAGCACACACATCACCAGGTGGTGTGTACGTAATCAGTGCCCTCGTAGGACCCAGACCCAGGTGACCCGGCAGTGCGTTCAGAAGTTGGTGTAGACGAAGTTACACTACAGAAATCCTCAATCCCACGGCCCTCTGTTTGGGATCATACAGATATTAACTAGCTAAGGTGTCTTCAGAAGTTGAATTGACTATCTGAGTGCACAGTGTAACTGTTTACTCAGTCAGTGCCTCACTGCATTAACCACTGGGAGCATGTGACCTCTGAATGTTTGGAGCTTACCTGAAGGCCTGACCTGCGCCTGGGAGTAGGTCACCTGCTGTGAAAATGTGACCCACTTCACCCGATCGATGTGTGTGCAGTTCCAGGAGATGTCTACACTGATTACGTCGCTACAAGATGGTACCGGGCTCCTGAACTTCTTGTGGGAGACACGCAGTATGGTTCTTCAGTCGACGTCTGGGCTACTGGCTGTGTTTTTGCAGAGCTCCTGACGGGGCACCCACTCTGGCCTGGAAAATCAGATGTGGATCAACTTTATCTGATCATCAGAACGCTGGGTAGGAGCTGCATTTTATGGCTTACAGAGTTGCTAGGTTGTTGCAGCAATAGCGTGTCATTGTATGAACCACAGGAGCTTTCTTGCCTTGCTGAGGTGCTTGCTGCTCAGGATGGCTGTTCTGGGCTGCAGCCAAAACCCAGCCCTTTCCTCGATGTGTAGAGCCAGCACTCCTCTCACTGAGGAGTTTTCTGATCCTTTCCAAGTCAAGCCACTTAGCCATGGAATAAACTATACATTTACTTTCCGCACTGAGCTAAGACGGGGCTAAGGATATGAGTCAGCTGCCTAAAACTCACTCTTACGAGGCATTGGATCAAATGCAATTTCTGTCCCCTTTAATGAGGGTTTTTCCTTCGTTACTCCAGAGGAAGGATCAGCAAACTTTTTCTATAAAGGGCCAGAAGCTAAATAATTTAGGCTTTGCAGGCTACACGGTCTCTGTTGCAACCTCTCAACTGTACTCCTTTGAATGGTACGTAAGGATTTACAAATCACGTCTGCACACACTGTCTCTTTCAGTCTTAAGAAAAGCCCATTAAGGACGTTGTAACGTTTTCATTGTGCCTCTTTTAGAAATGAGAAACTGAGGCTCAGAGGACTTCCATGATTGGCCTAAATCACACAGCCAGCTCAGTGCAGAATAGGAATGGGGCTCCAGGGGTGTCCTTCATCCCGTCAGCGTCCTAACACTGTGACACCCTGAGGGGTGTCAGCGTCCTCAGCAGTTGCCTACTCCCACCTGGCTGGAGGAGAATGTAACCTGAGCGGTTGGCTGCACTTAAAGGAAGTGGCACGTCTACACACAAGATGAATGGTGGTTCCGTCCTTGCTACAGGCTGTCCCAGCAGCGTGGGCGCTGGGCAAGGGAGTCATTGCCTCTGGTCTGGTCCCAACACATTCTCTGGACACCCCTGCAGCACGGAAAATGGGGCGTAGAGTTTCACTACAGAACGCACCTGAAGTGTATATTGCTTCATTTCCTAAAAGGATTGTGGAAATTTACCTTAGGCAGATACCAGACAGCCCTGAGTTTGAATCCTGGGTCTGTCGCAAAATGTCCAGGTGACTTTAGACAGGTTATTAAACCTCTGAGCCCCATTGTCATCCTCGTAGTGGAGCCATTGTGAGGTTGTTACGAGATTGAAGGAGACGGTGTGTGTAAAGCCCTCCGCACCTTTTTCGTGCCCCCTCTTCTGGTGGAGGCCGAGCGGCAGACCGAGCCCCGCATGGCCCAGGGCCGTGTGGGCGCACCAGCCTTCCCTGAGAAGGACATTTCCGCAGTGACCCAGTCCTTCCAGGACCGCAGGCCACAGTCAGGGTCAGTGTTTCTTTCACATCAGGCCCTCAGAGGTTAGCCATTTAAACACTCTATTGTTTTTGTAAACTTAACATAAATCATGTGGTTTGCATTTTGCAGGGAAACTAATCCCAAGACATCAATCCATCTTCAAAAGTAACCAGTTTTTTCATGGTATCAGTGTACCTGAACCAGAAGACATGGTAACTGCTTGATTTGGGATGTTTTCTTTTTTATGCTGCTACTTTGAAGGGATAGTTGTTTTTAATTTTCCTGATTTTGGCCTCTGTTTCCATATGCCACGCTAACACAGATCAAAGAAACTACATAAAAACCATATAAAATGAATGGGAGAAAATGCCCTGTCCAGAGGCTAATTTAATGTTAAATTTCAAGTGAAAATATGTTTAGTTCCTGCACAAATACCTGATCCTTTTAGTTAAAACACTCAGGTCTCTTTTCCTGAAATAGTTATTGCGTCATATACAGTATTTACAGTAGTACTTCTTTATTTTGGGAGGGAAGCATTTTCCATGTTCTCAGCATGTGAAACAAAGCTCAGATCAATAAAACCATTTGCTGACAAGGTATATTTTCACGTGGAAGGTCATTCTACAATTTGACCCTCATTGTATCCAAATCAACACCCCAACCGCATGCTCACCTCCACCCTGTGGCTGTGGGCCTTGCCTTTCTTTGGGGAAGTATCTGTTTGACCCTCTTCCTCCTGTAGACATTGATTTCCTGTCTGCACTACCTAGGTTTGGGCTGTGACCTCTAAAACTCCATATGGTCTGGATTCTGCCTGTGGAATGAGAGCACTGTCCCTAGGCATGTGTCTACACGCCAGCCCTGCGGGAGCCAGAGAGGTGCAGGGCGGGCGAGTGTCTGTGGACCGCGAACAGGCTCCGGTTCAGGCGGCCCCAGCTATCTCTAGAAGCCCTCTTTGTTCTAAGTTTATTTCATGTAATACCTTGATTTACATACTGGATTTTTTTTATTAAGCATAGTAAAAGGTTAAAAGTTAAATTGCCAGGCTAGAGGTTGAATGCCAAAAGAAAATGTCATTTAAAGAATAAAATAACAAATTCACATGTACATGCTGCCTAGCTAAAGAAGGATGTTATCATTAGCTTTGAAGCCTCCTCCTCCCCACACACTTCTCTTGAATCCCGTCTTCCGCGTCCCCACTCCTCACTATTCTGAGTTCTGTCCCTTCTGTATTGTTCTCACTCCCGTAGTTCAATGTATTTTTAAGAACACTGAAAGCATCCTCGTACGGATAGGTCAGGCACAGATAATGTAGGACTGTTGCGGTCATTCAGGAGCAGACATTTGGAACCCACACTTACCAAACATCAACAGCAAGGTGCTGTGCAATTAAGAAAATCACTCCAGTTTTTTGCTTTCAAGTCTTTACACTTTAGTATAAAATTATATTAAAATATGATTTTTTAAATCTTTAAAAGAAATTAACCTACTGGGGGAAATCTTTCTTTAAAGTATTCTTACTACTCACCTATTCTAAATCTGCATACTTTGTTTTTATGTAATATTGAATGTCTTTGTTTTCTAGGAAACTCTTGAAGAAAAATTCTCAGAGGCTCATCCTATGGCTTTGAATTTTATGAAGGTAGTTAAGGGTCAATTATAACTGTTTCTGAGTGCAAATTATCATGATTGAAGCTGGTAACCCTGGGAGGAGCAGACAATAGTGCAAATAATGCCAAAGTAGAGTGTAGTCATTGAAAACAATAAGGAACTGTAAAATCATTACAGTTAAAGGAACATCGGTGGTGTGCATAGTAATCTTTCTAACATTTTTTAAAATTAGAAGAAGGTGGAAGAGTATAGTTAGGGTTTGCTGTTATAACACTATTACTTCTTTTGTATTCATTAGAAATTTGAATATTAAATTTGTATATTCAGACTGTGGAAGCGTGTGAGGATGAAAGCCACTGAAGTTTGAAGGTCCAGAGCTGCACTGGCCAGTATGGCAGCCACCACACGTTACTACTGAGCACTTGAAATGTGGCCTATTTGGATGGAGATGTACTAGATTTCTTTGAAAATTACTATACAAAGAGTGTAAAACATGAGTATTTCATTAATAATTTAAAATAGGAATTACATGTTGAACGGATAACATTTTAGACACATTGAATTAATTAAAATTTAAATTATTTTTTAAAAGCTAGCAGACCAAGCAAAGTCAGTGCCATATAGACATCATAGTTTGTAGCCTCTGCACCAGGCCTGAGAGGGATCATCAAACACAGGACAAATTCTAATAAAAAAATAGAAGAGGCTCGTCTGTGATCATCCGCTATCCACGCCTGACCAACTGGGGCCGTGCTAGATGGGACTCTTTCATCCAAAGTGGATACTGAAAGCCCTGAGGGGATAGGGACAGAGCTACCAGTGAGAGTATCTGTCTTCAACAGTCAGTTAAGTTCCGTTTATAGCAGTGGTTTCCATGCTACTCATCAGAGCATCCTGGGGGCTTTTCAAAAACACCCATTCCAGTATCTAAACTCAGGTTACAGAAGTAGAATCTCTGTAAAGAGGACCTTAGAATTTATGTTACTAAATGTCCCCCTAGGTGATTATGATGAGCAGCAAAGTTTGAAACTTATATGACCTAGAAGGTGGAGCCATCTGGACAACCTAGGGCCCACTCAGACCAGCCCAGGTGCCAGTGCCGGGCGCTGCAAAGGTGCTATCCAGGGTGCTGCTGGATTTCTTCAGTCTGGGCCCTCCTGAGGTTCAGATCGTGACACCTCTGGGCTCTCCGACAGCCCTTGCCCCTGCTCCACAGCCTTAGCTATCTTCCACCTGTCTCACTGCTATGACCTGCCTTAACCCAGCACTTTGCTGGTCCTTTCCTGGAAGCCCAATTTTCTGATCTTATGCAGGGCAGTTGACCCACCTACAATTTAACAAAAACCAGAGCAGTTGGGGTGGAGGACATCAAGCACTGCAAGCCCAACCCATTTCCATGTTGTGGCCAGGCCTTCCTGTGGATCCTCCTCCAACTAACCAGAAAACTTGAAGGGCACAGAAACTCCAGGTAGAGGACAAACTTCCTGTCCTCATCTCCAAAGGTGGTGTGCCCTGTTGGTCGGCCCAAGATGCTGGGCGAAGCTAGTTTTGTCTCTCAGCTATTTGATCTAGGCTCATAATGTTTGACCTGAGACCCAAGAACTCTCTCAAGAGCATCAGGGATTGTGTTATTCAGTGAGTCACACCCTACATCCTGGACTCCTACCTCATGTGAGACAAAGGCAGTCTTCCTCTCATTAATTGTTGTTGAAACATCTTTAACAACAAGTGAGTACCAGCTACCATAACAGGTAGTTAGCCCATGGGACTGGGCCCTAATCTAGGCAGGGAACAGCTCAGGTGGGTAAAGTGCCAGCCAGTGACAGTGCCAAGGACAGTGGTGGCATGCAGCAGCAGAGCTTTTGTGTTCTGTGCATTAGGTTTAAAACTGGAGAATGGGTGCCACATTTATTTTATTACTGTGTCTTCATAGCCATTACCATCCTTTCACTAGATCAGTTTTATCTGGTCATCAAGAAGTCTGTCGACTCTTGGACACTTTGTTGAAGGGCTTTTTCTGAAATTTGAAGTCTCTGGAATAGGATCCCAATGTGGACTTTGCAATTCCAGTTTCTTGCCCCTCATTTTAATGGTTTCCCCAAGTTAGGAACACTTCAATCAGGGGCACCTCTGAGAACTCATCAGCCTCTTGGTGTGCAGAAAGTTGGTAATCAGGCAGGCGCTCAGAAGCTCAACCCCGCCCAGCCCGTCTCAGTGCACCTGCGACTAGTCAGGCAGGGCAGCGTCCCAACTCAGGCCTGTGGCATGACTCAGCTTTCACAGTCTCTTCTTCGGATCTGAAAATGCTCTTTAAAAAAAAAGCCCATAGGTGTTTAGTGAGAGGGTAGATTTCAGTGGACTGAGAGTCTGTACAAAGAGGTGAAGGTATTCAAGATAGAATTGGAAATGAAGTGGGTAGGACCTGACGATCACTTAGATCAGGGGCATGAAATAGAGGAAGGTGACAGAGAGGAGGTGTCTGTGTCGGTTTCCTGGGGCTATCCTGGCAAAGTACCCAAAACTTGGCAGCTAAAAACAGTAAAATGTATTCTCACAATTGTGGAGACCAGAAGTCTAAAACCAAGGTGTTGGCACCCCCTCTTGTCCCTACCCCGTCTTGTCTCTCCAGCACCACGCTCTCTCCAAAGCTTCTGGGGGAGGATCCTCCTTGGCCCCTTCCAGCTTCCGGCCGTCCCAGGCATTCTTGGGCTTCTGGCAGCAGAATTCCAGGGTCTGCTTCTGTCTTCACATGACACATGCCACGTGTGTCTGTCTTTGCAGGGTCTCCCCTCTCGTAAAGACACCAGTCATATGGGAGTAGATCCCACACCACTTCAGTATCACCTCCTCTGAACTAATTACATGCCCCGAGCCCCTATTTTCGTGTAAGGTCACATGATGAGCTACTGGGGTTAGGACTTTAACAAATACTTTTGGGGGACGCATTCAACTCGTAACAGTGCCCTAGGATAGTACGTAGGCCCTTACACGCGTGGGTCTGGATTTCAAAGGAGAGGTCTGCACCAGAAACATGCATGTGGAAATCTCTGGTAAACCTCGACCTTTGAAGCCACTGAACATCAGTTAGATCAGCTGGACACTTAGAACAAACGAGAAGAAATGGGAACCTGGGATGGAGCCTTGAGGAATTTCAGACTGTGGAGAAGAATGTGAACGAAGAAAGGCTGGTTTGGAAACAAGTGGCCAGGAGGCGGGAGGAACAAAAAGTGAGGCGTCAGAGACGCCAAAAGGAGAGTTTCAAGTGGTCAGTAGAATCTAACACTCCTGAGAGGAGAACGCGCAGTGGGGAAGCAGGTTCGAGGATGGAGAAGTAGAAGTCTTAGGTGTGGACGACGGGAGCCACTCAGGTGGGACTGTGGAGGCAGAAGCCAGGGGGGAGCCATGAAGGAATAGAGATGACCACAGTTGTTAACAAGTTGTAAGTACTGGATGACACGCAGACCTGATTGTCTAAACTCACATTTGCTCTATCCAGTTACTATTCAGAGTTTCGGGACACAGTAACGAAATAGGCCCTTTTTAAAATACCCTCTTCACTTTTCTTCCGAAGGAGTGTCTGAAGATGAACCCAGATGACCGACTCACCTGCGCCCAGCTCCTGGAGAGCCCTTACTTCGATGCTTCCCGAGAGGACCAAGCCAAACGAAGAGCGCGTCACGAAGGAAGAAACAGAAGACGTCAGCAGGTACCTGTGCGCAGAAGTTAAAGTGCTATGGAAATGATTGTTCTCCTTGTTCTGCCTTTCAAAGCGAGTCCAGGTGGACGTCGAGACCTTTTCTTTGCACTGGTGTAGTTGTATTTGTTTACCTCATAAATACTGGTTCATGTAATAAAACTATAAAAAAATGGAAATATCTAGTTTGTTACAAAGTCTTGTTCCAAATACCCTGACATCAAAGGTTGCACACTTCTTTTGTACACTGATTGGATATCTCACCTGCCAGAACGTGAACCCAAAGCACAACAGCTTCAAAGACTAAAACCCCTGGCACAGCAGGACCGAGTTTCCGCTGGCCTTGCAGGGGGATCCCGGCACCTCTCTGAAGCCTCCGATGTGCAGTAAAGGAAACAATGCTTGCGTCTTCTCCCCCCAGGGCAGGCACCCAAGTCTGCCTGTCTTAGTTTTTTCCTTGAAGGTGAGGACAACTGTGGCCAGATACAGAGAGATGAGACTTAGACACCTGGGAACGAAATTCTGCCCTCAGATGTGCCAGCGTGATAGGAAAGCGTGGTAAATATGATGACAGACATTGGTTCTACAGGTGATCGGGTGATGGCCTTTACTTGCTTTCAGAAAACTTGGATGTTAAAATGGGGAGTTCATGGAAGTAAGGTCGTCTGGGTTTCCCCGCCCTTCTTGTATCTCCAACACCTAAAACAGTATCTGTCACACAGAAGGTACTTAACAAATATGATCCAAATAACTAAATAGATGAGCATTGCTTGTGAGTAAGCCAGGATGATAATTTTTTATTTATCTGAGTCTGACAATCGTCCCATTTGTGTTTACTTAATATTTCACCTTTGGTCTACATTTTGGTCACTTATCTTCTCATTAACAAGTCACCATAAAGGAATAAGGCAGTCTTTTCTTTCAACCATGTGATAGTTTAAGTTCATTGGTAGGGAAAGGTCAAACTAATCAATAAGAAGAAAGGTTAAGATGATTTCCATGTATCCACAATCCCTGGGTCTCCAAGTTTGTATTATGGAAGGTTTGTGGTTTTTAAAAACTTTTTAGAGGTTCTTTTTTTTCTGATGTTATTTGTTTATTTTTAGAGAGAGGGGAAGGGAGGGAGAAAGAGAGGAAGAGAAATATCAATGTGCGGTTACCTCTCATTCACCCCCCTACTGGGGACCTGGACTGCACCCCAGACATGTGCTCTGACTGAGAACCAAACCAGTGACCCTTTGGTTCACAGGCCTGCGCTCAATCCATTGAGCCACACAAGCCAGGGCTGTATTATGGACATATTTTACCTTTCCCTATTAAAGTTACATGTTAAGCCCAATACCTTTTACTTAACCAAAAGATTAGGGTTTGTTCAAATAAGTCTAAGGCAGCGATTTAAAGGATGGCGTGAATTGCCTGTAAAAACAGTGTCCCCTTAAAAACTTCTCACAAGATTCCTCCTCACCTTTGGCCTGGAAGGGTAGACAGTGGCACTGTGCCTTCCTGCCCCTCGGTCCCGCCTGAAGTTCTGCCACACTGTCCCCCAACGGGGACTGTCCTCCAACCAGATGGGGATGTGGTCCCCCTTGAAGTGTCCAGTGCTCACAGCTGTGATCCCCATTCCTTACGACCCTTGAGCCAACTGACAAAGATGTGAGACTTTACAGAGCCCTTTCCAGAGACCCAGGACAACAGGAGGAGGAGAAACACAGAGCAGCAGGCATCTAGATAATCTCGTTTACAAAGAGTGCATCACGTTCTCGTCGTTAGTTCACTGCAAGCTGTCCACCTCTGTGTGGCAGCCTCCGAGGACCCACCTCGAGGAAGTGCCTGAACGTCTCCCCCAAATACAGTCTCTGGAAAGCAAGGCCAAGAGCAAGAGCAACACCCGTGTCTTTCAAGTCCTGGTTTTCTTTCCGATCACACACCTGTTTCCTAGATGTTTTACCGTATTGGGGGGGGGGGGGGGGGGGAAGTTCAGAGAGATCTTTTCATGCAGTGTGGTTTCATTTTGTGAGTTCAAATTTCTACCTAGATACCAACTTCTAGATCTCTGAGTGAATGATCAAGAAATTCCTTAAAACTAAATATTGTTTAACATAGATAGCAAAGAGGTTTTTAATCTGTGCTGCCCTGCCAGTATCCTAACATTTAAAATGTGGTGGGCAGAATGTAGAGTCTTGAAATTATTGTTTGATAGGCTGTGGGCATCTGTCTTTTAAACACTGACTAGACACTCAGAAATGTGTGTGTTGAAATAAGCTAGAGCACATCTGTGAGAAGCCTAGAGTGAGCACCAGAACGTCATTTTCAAGTATCTGAATATCACAGTGCTTTGAAAGTATTTCTACTTAATTTTTAAATTCATGTCTTTTGACACCTTTGTACCGTATGTATCCTGTTTTGCCACCTTTAAATCAAACTGTACGAATAGGATTGGTTTTCAATTGACTTTCTTATTTTTGTCTTGTTCTGCTGTTAGAATCAACTGTTGCCTCTCATACCAGGAAGCTACATCTCCCCCACACCCGATGGAAGAAAACAAGTCCTCCAGTTAAGATTTGATCACCTTCCAAACATTTAGGAAAATGTTTGTTCAAGCGGAAAGTAATTTAATATGTACACATTTTTGCACAGGAGGGATAGGAATGCTCAGTGTTTCGAATGCAAATGTGCCGTACGAAAGTGAAGATGCCTTCTAGAATTGTTCCACTCTGACCATTCCTGATTCCTCTGCCTGTGCTTTTCACATGCTGACTTTATCTTTTAGAATATTTTCTTGAAATGTTACAACTTCTGAAACTGCATATATGGAGGAGATATTTCCAATTTCATCAGAGCGCCCACCCCTCTTGAGGCAATTTATATTGAGAACTTGCGAGCTTACTCTGATGTATGAAAAAGATGTGCATGTATCACCTTGCGTCAGCCGACCACACAGTGACTTAGAGCAGTATGCAACAGCTCTCCTCGCTGTTGTTTGTGTGAGGAGTGACTGTGTGTTTCTGCATTTTACTTCATTCTCATTGTAGTCAGGGCTGCTGAGTGACTCTGGGGTTTTATTCCGTGTGTCTGTCTGGGTGTAGGAAGGGAGCCTTGACGTGTGGCCTAGGTTTGTTCCCTGATTCCAGGGCAGAGTCTACCTTCTCTGACTCACGAGACACTGATGGTTCTATTTTTTAAATTTATTTAATTATTGTTCAAGTACAGTTTTCTGTTTTTTACTCCCATCTCAGCTTAGCCCCCCCAGTGCTCCCTACCTCCCTCCCATTTCCACCCCCCTTAGTTGTTGTCCATGTGTCCTTTATACTAGACGATTCTATTTTTAAGCTAGCTAGAGAAAATTTCAGACATTTACGTAGCAAATCCTGGGTGAACTACAAGCAATTTCCATCCTTATAACACCCTGGGATAATCAACCGCTGACTCCGATGCTGTCCTTTGGCACAGCATGGTTTCTTTTCCTCCCTCCTCCTGGGTAGATCTCAGGACCTAAACCTGCCCATCCGCATGGAGTGTGTTCTAAAGAGTGTATTATCAACAGTCTGTTCCAAACACTGGCATCCCCGAACATCACAGCCTCTATGAACCTGTGCAGCCCTAAACGTGTGCATTGGGTTTGTAAACGTTTCTGAAAGCAGGAAAATTATCTTTCAGTTAACTTCATTTTGTGTCTTTTAACAAAAAAGGGAGAAGCAAATAAAACACCTCAAAAGGTGAGCCCAATTTAGGTTGTGATATTTTCCCAAATAAATGTGACAGACCCACCTACCTACTACCTACATACATTATATATTTTATATATGTATATATATATACACACACATGTACATATATATATATAGAGAGAGAGAGTTCTAAATTTCGAACCATCATAGCAGATGCTTTTTATCCTGGACATCTAAGAATGATTCAGAATATTTAAAGTGCCCTTGGTTTGCTTAACAAGGAACTCATGTAAAGCACAGCGTAGGGCTGCCTGTCCCTGTCTGGCGTAAAGACACAGAAGAGTGGTGTTCCTATCAATAAATATTAAGATTACTACTTTCATTAACTCTTTTCTGCTCCTAGGTTTGGCGTGTTCACTCAAACATTTTACAAATGCACATAAGTCCACAAATTTCTCGTACCTGACGTCAAGACACTAAGCATCAAGTGTTTTTAAGAAAACGCAGTAACATTCTATATTCATCTCTAAAAGTCGATCATACTTATAAACCTGGCTGTGTAAACGTGCAGAGGTTTAGCTAATTCAGTTATTAGGATCCTCAGGTACCTGTTCCTGACAATACCTAAATTCTTCCTAAAGAATTGTGGCATCTAAGCAATAGTTCCTTGCTCACTGGAAAGACATTCTCAGTGGGCTTATTTGGCCATTTAACGTTCCGAGTGTGAATATAAGCTGCTAGGGACTTCTTATTTTCATCTTGTTATCAATAAGTGTGCCTCTTCAGAGTTGTATATTGCTTCAATTTTTTTTAAGATTTTAAAAATTTATTTCTAGAGAGAGGGGAGGGGAGAAAGAGGGAGAGAAACAGATATATGGATCGATTGCCTCTCGCACACCCCCAGCTGGGCACCCAGCCTGCAACCCAGGCATGTGCCCTGATTGGGAACCAAACCAAGGACCTTTTGGTTCGCAGGCTGGTGCTCAATCCACTGAACCACACCAGCCAGAGATATTTCTTGAATTTTTAATAAGATGGTAACACAGGTGCAAGGAAAATGAAAACTTAAAAAGGCAGCTTTGCCAAAAGATTTCATTTTAGCTTTCATAATGTTTTTATTGCGTAAGCCTCTTTATTGCCAAACCACTCATGCTACTCCATCTCTGTGTCTGCATAACACAACACACACAGAAATCAAGACAGCACAAGACTCCGTGGTCCATTTTGCTTATAATCGTGTCTCAAACAACAATGGAGTTTGAGGCAGAGGTTGGAAGGGTAATTGTCTTCCCTTATTTTTGCTTATATTTAAGAATTCAAAGTACCATTTCTCAATTTTTTCCCTTAGACACACCCATCATTTATGTATCACTGGAGAGGAGAAAGCGTGTAGTGCTTAGAAAAATGTTCTGATGCAGCCCTGTTACCACGAAGCGGATAGTTTCTGATGACGTGGGCATTCCTGACTTTCCCCGGAGCGACCCAGGTCACCCAGCACCGCTGCTGCCTGAGTCACTCAGGCGCGCAAATCTCCAACAGCAGCGCTTTTCTCCTTCCAGTGTGTAGTCCCCACCGCTGTACTGCAGATTCCCTCGCGTTTCTCAGCCACATGAAAGACGATAGTGCTCCAAGGTCTAGGACCTAAATCGAGTCATGTCTGTTGTTGCGAAACATCCTGAGCAAATAGCCTTGCCCCGGGTTCATCGCGGAAGCCCCCAAGAGTCTGTTAACCACGCGTTTCCTTCCCAGCCTTGCTCAGTTTCTGGCTGCCCTGGGGCTTTCTCGCCCGAGCCAGCTTTCCAGCTTTTTCATTGATCTCTGTAGCTCTGTCCTTCGTGCTGCACCAATACCGCGCTGTCACCGTGAGTGACGCCACCTGAGGACAGACACCCTTTCCTCCACCCCGGCGTGACCTCTGCGCCCCAGGCTTCCTGACCTTCCGCACGGGTACCTGAGGATCTCCACTCGGTTGTTCGTTTTTTTATTTTTATTTCTTAATTTCAGAGCACTTTATAGAGAATCAAAAAATGCAGACTTGACTTTTTCTTAGTGCTTCAGCTGCGTGGGGAATAAGAAAATAAATGATAAAAAAGGATATTTCGTTAGACCTCTTATCACCCCTGTAAAAACTCTTTGCTTGGACTGTCTTTAGTCTCGGTGCATTTGAATGTAGTGATTGCCCCAACCACGAAACCCTTTTAGGGGGTCGCTTTTTGAAGATTATTTTAACTGGACTGAAGCATTAAGAAGTCGTGTTCAGGAGGCTTTTGAATGCTTGGGGTTAGGCAGATGAGCTAAGGCTGAAGACAAACCTCTCCGGCAGGGAGGAAGCGGTGGGCAGCGGCGGCGGGTAGACGTTCCCACTTCTAGGTTCTCCCCTGCGCCACACGCTGCGATCATCGCCGTTGCAGGTTCCCCAGACTACAAGGTGGAAGAAAATTAATATGTTATTTTGACAAAATTTCTAATTCTGAAAATATTTTATAGTTCTTTACTTGCTATTGAATTATAATTTTCTTCAAAAAGATGTCACTTTCTTAGTTATTTGTCACCATCAATGATTTCCACTCGTGGTTTTAGAGCAAACAGCAAATGGCACAGAATTCTCCCCTCTCCTCAAATTTTTTAATTAAAACGTGTAACCAGAAGAGGAATGACCCAAAGATTTCACAAACTGACAAATTGTGGAGTCAGTGTAAGATATTAGATGAATCACAGGTACACAGATTTTTAAAGCATATAGTTAAGACAAAGCTAAAATGCCATTCACAAGTTGAAGTAATGTTCTTTTTTTTTTTTTTTTTTTTTTGGAACTTGACTTGATTTATTCCTTATTTTAACAGCTATCTAATTCCATTGTACAACCATAGCGCGATGTAGTTATCCATTTTTATTATTAGAAATGATGCTGCAATGAGCATTCCTTTCATTTTCTTTGGATTGTAGTTGGGGAGACCTTGTCTAATATTCTCCAAGCCATACAGGAGTTATTAATTAATACTTTCTTCTTCCAACACTGAATGTCTAAATACTATATAAAATCAGGTATTTATACATACTATAGCAAAATATTTTCTCTTATCCTCTTGGAAGGAAGACTGTCAGGGAAGGAAGACAAGCACCTAGCAGAGTGCATAGAATAACACAGTTTGTTTCCTTTTTCCACAATTCTGAATATATTTATTGTGTTGTTCTTATTTTATTGTTGTTCAAGTACAGTTGTCTGCATTTGAAGTAATGTTCTGAGTGGAGCGCTCTTCTTAGATTAAAGTCTTCACCTCAACAACTTCCTTTTTGTTTTAGTCGACAACTACAAGTCTCTAAGAGGGGTAGCTTAGAGAATAACAGAAATAGCATGTGACCTGGGAGGACACCCAGCTCCAGGCCTGGCTTGCAACTCTGTGTAGACACGGGACTTTTCTGAACCCTCGTCTCATTTGTACCATGAGAGAGCAGATAAGCCAGATGACTAAGGTCCCCCTTCAGCCTGTGTCCTGGACACACCTCCCTCTAGAAGGTACTTGCTAGGATTGTTTTGTGTTAACAATACCAAGGTGAATTTGAGTGTTTGTGATCTAGCCTGGAGCTTGAAGGTCTCTCTCAAATATATTCCTCTCTCATCTCTCTCTCGCTTGATTTCTTTCTCTTTCTCTCTCTCTCTCTCTCTCTCTCTCTCACACACACACACACACACACACACATTCACACACACACACACACACATTCAGCTACTCCCTGCTAGTACTACGATTATCTATCAAGGTAATCATAGTTTGCAGGCAACCGTCTAGTGGAGGTTAAGTTTTATAAACTAAAGTGGATTTAAAGCTAATTATCACTGGAGTTTAATGTAAATAAAACAGGTGTGCTTTTAAAATGCAGAATAATGTGTAATCATTTTTTGATGTTTTAATCTAACTCTGCTTAGCTTGGAAACGACATTTATGCTCTGAAACATTAATATAACCATTAAGGCAAAGAACACTTAGTACATTACTAACCTCAGTAGAACTTTTATTAGTTTCAGTAAATTATAACTTAATCAGATCCTACAAGTACATCTGAATTAGACTTGTTTTGTATTTCAGCAGCGGGACTTGGGCTCAGTCAGCTTTGTATTTAACTTGTCATTTCCTCAAGCTGAGAATTGGTTAGTGTACTCAACAGGCATATAAACAACTTGTATTTATAAAGTTAAAAATTTTCTTTTCTGCTGTGAAAACCAGGCACTAACCATCTCTTTCAATAGTGTCACATTGAGGACCTTGTGTGTTTCCTTATTACTTTAGAACTTATTCTAAATCACATGGGATCATGGCTATATATTAATTAGCACTTGATAATTAGCACAATGGTGACGTGCTGCTAGAAACAATTAGCTACAGGGCCTTTGTAGTTGTATTATGTTAACCATATAAATACATAACCTTTTACATTTAGCTGAAGTGTGGAATTAAATACTTTGGCATCTTTGTGTTTGTATATATTACTTAACCTGAATATGTTCTTTAGTTTGTTTTAATAAAAGTTGGAAATATTTCTGTCTCTTCATTTCTGTTTAACTCAGCTGTTAGTCCATTGTCAAATACTTTGTATTTAGGTAAGAAAAACTGTCATCTTCACATATAAATTCCAGAACTTCTTACTAAATTTTCCATGAGTTGGAATATCTGAACAGCTGGCGTGGCAACTATTCCTTTTGTGCCTTGAGTTGGGAAATTTTACAAATGGAAAAACTAACAAAATCTTTTCCAGTCCGACTGGCTATATGCCTATTCCTGAGAACATCTTTACAACTTTACTTTGAGGCTGTAAGATTTTTTTCTTTCAATTCATCAGAATATTTCTCTGATTCTTTACAATACTTAAACTACACGATATGAAGTTTTCTTGCAACTTTAATTCCTGGCTATCATAATAGTGTGTCCGTGGCTTAAAACATGAAAAGGTTCAAGACCAAACTTAGACTAATGATCAAAAGAGAGAAAAACAGCTAAACAATGAATGAGGTCATTGTTTAAATATGCTTCAAATCTTTTCTCTTCTTTTGAACTAACTTTTCTGCTT